GGAAACCCTAGCTAGGTGCGGTCAGTTAAGAAACACTGAACCATCAAAACACAACACATCGGTATCAAGGAGGATACTGGGATTATTATCAGAAGAGATAATAATTGACACGTTCCGGCTCAGGCAGCAAACATAGCAACTGCTGAGAAAACGTTACTGGAAGGGAAGTAAGAAAACTTGCCCTGTAAATAATTAAATAGCTTGAGCGCTATAGTGAAAGAAAGTAATTAAAGAATTACACAACTGGATACTGCCATAGGAAGGGATAAATAATACTTTAACCAAATCCAAGGGATTTGTGTGAGACGCGGAATTTTGATCTCACAGTAATAAATAAAATAAAAAATAATACATATGTCATCGGGAGATTTTTTCTGATGCAGATTTAAATAATTATTACACTATTTATGTAAGTTTATGGCAGGCCTCATAATGTTATGCAAAAATCATACAAAAATTATGCAATTATTACATTGAGTGTAAATATTACATAATTTTTTATGCAAATATTACAACTTTACATATTAAAATTTATGGATGAAATATTAAGGCAAGAAAATTTCCTGTTGGTATACATTTATGACAACCTTTTATGCCTCAAGTCAATCATACAGCATTCATGTATATACAATGGTTTTTATTAGTATGTACTTTCCAATATGTAATAAATAAAAAAAAATAATACAAATGTATACATTTGACTACCTTTTATGTCTCAAGTCAATCATACAGCATTGGGGTGTCTTACATTATATGATTTTACAAACATAGTTGTCACGTATATAAAATTTCATATATGACAATTTTTTGCCAATCTTTTTTTCAATAGTAAACTTTGAATGATTATAACTCTTTAAAGAATAGAGATACTGACACCAAGTTAAGTTTAAAACATACTGGAGAAATAGGACAATAAAGTAATAGAGCCTTTTTTTATTTTAATATAAACTATGGCATTTATTTTAAGCTAGAAAATCAAAGTAAAAGTTGCAAATATATGTTATGAAATTTTATGCAAGTAAAATTGTAAAAAGCTCTCTATTAGTTTAAAGAGCATCAAAAATTGAATCTATAACATAAATTTTTATTTGAATATAACATATAGTTTAAGAGTTATTTTGAGTTTTGTAATTTTGTGAAGTTTGCCAATTTGTATAATAAATTTAAAATTTTTTTTTGTGGCACCAAAAAATAATAATAAATCCGCAAAACCAGGACTGAGAAAACTCTATTGAATGTGACTGCCAACACTATGATTCAAAAGTACTTTAAAAAAAAAAATTGTGACTGCCTCACTATAGATTCGATTAATGGAAAATGGAAAAGGTCACCGCCTTTATATAATTCGAAGGAAAAAATGTCCTCAGTTACACTGAATTCGCAAACATAGAGAAATGAAAAATGTCATCAGTTACACTATAATTCGCATTATTAATAAAAAAAATTTATCTTGGTCATATATACCAAAAAAAAAAAAAATGAAAATTCAAACTAAAAATAGTAAAAGAATTCCTTATGATTCATGCCAATGACATTTTACTACATACTCTAACTTTCAAGAATTTTTCAATGCTAAAAAATTTATTTGCAAATGTGGTCAAATTATTTCACTTGAAATCAATTATCAAGTTGCAAACTTTAAAAGACATTCTCAGAGTAATAATTGTAATTTTTTAATAAATAATCAACCTAGTGTCAAAGCATTCTTTACAAAAAGTAACCATGAAGAACATATCATTGATGATAATAATATAGATCAAAATCTACATATATGCAAGGGTCTTTGTGACTTGGAGTATATTGATTATGTTATAAATAGTCCAGCTAATTTTGGAGGTGGTAAAAAACCCAAAA